TTCCTGCGGGCTCGTTATTAGTATGTGACATCTCGATCCGCTTTACCGACGGTTTCTCTCCGCACCCTCTAAATTATCGTTATAGATTCTGTTTGGGATGTGTGTGTATAAATAGTGCCCGGCGGGTTGACATTACTGGCAAACGCTATGCCCAGTACGTGTCTAATGGTCAAGGCAGCTTCCACGTATCTACCAGCCCACACATTCTCGTTATAGCCGGCCACCACAGATTCCCGATTTCCTCTCCACCCTCGAGCGGCCTCCCTTTTTCACTTCTTCAACTGCCAATCGTTACGGTTTCTTTCAATTGATAAAGAGCCGAACGATAAAGCCATTACAGCTCTTAGCCAGTATTACAGCCAATGCTGTTTCTATAGAACTCAGAAATATATGAGACGTTTTCAAAAATCAATAATAAAAATAAATTCGGCCACCAAAAAGTCCTAATTAACGATGGTCCGAATCTCAGCAGTTTCCGAGTTACTCCACTTTTTTTTTTTTTTTAAGATTTCACGACCTTATTTCAAATTAACAATATTAACTCCAAAACTGAAAGGTTTTGGACAAATCCGTTCATACTATTGAAAACTACATTAAATTTGCAATACGATGTGATCAACACTTGTAAACGCGGGTGAAATAAGCATTTTAGTAGCGAGAACTTTGAATTTTTTTTTTTTCAGAGTTGAAATACTAAATAAATCCACTATGGTGATTCTAAACTTCTATTTCCAAACCTAGAGATCAGCAAATTTCGTAAAAACGTTCAAGTAAAATAAATAATAAATAAAAATAAAATAATACATAAAATAAATAATCAAAATTTCAGTCGTGTTGGTAAATAAATAAACAATTGCACTATTTTGGTTTCGAACGCAAATTAACAAACGTTTAATAAATTCATTCAAAATTTCCTTTTTTTTAACGAGGGTATTTCAACTACAAGGTTATAAGAACCCTCGGAGTGCTGATGTTTTTGAAAAAAATCCCATTTGTAAGTATGTCGGTTTCGAATGCAGAGCCGCTGGATTCGAACCCGGGACCTTTACCTTACAGTGATGAGCGCCCTGTCAACGCCTAAACCGTTGCGGCCACCGACGTCCCCGAAAATTTCCTTAAGTTTACATTTTTCTTAAATCTTCCCACCTTAATAACCCGTCAACTACGGTTACGGAAAGGTTTACCTTTCCTTTATCATATTCTTCATCTTTGAAAAAAGTAATTTAAAAAAAGTAATTACGCTGTAAATACTCTAAAAAGAATACAAAATGGAGTACGTTTGCTGAAATTTGCTGGTCTCTTGGTTTGGAAATCGTAGTTAAGTAGTTTGATTAATGGGTTTTTGTATAATTATTATTCCCCGGAATAAAAGACTTTTAAAATTCAAAACGGTTTTAGTTCATTCATTCACAATTTATTTAAGTTTTTTATTATTATTGATAGGTCTACTCTACCAATCCGTCAAACAAGGTTTTTTCCTTTCCTTCATAAATTTCTTCATCTTTGAAAAAAGTAATTAAAAAGGAAATTACACCAAAAGGATATTAAAAAGAGTTTTATGAAATTGGTTGGTCTCTAGGTTTGGAAATAGTGGTTTAGAATCACTATAATAAGTTTTTCAACTTTGAAAAAAGAAAAAAAATTTTTTTTTCAACGTTCACGCTGCAAAACGATTATTTCAAGAACGTTTACAAGTTTAGTATTTATCACATCTTATTGGAAATTTAACGTAGTTTTCAATGGTATCAACGGATTTGACGAAAACCTTTTAGTTTTGGAGTTACCATTGTTTATTTGAAGCAAGGTCGTGAAATCTTAGGAAATCCGAAAAAGGGGAATAACTCCGAAACTGTTGAGATTCAGACCGTAGTTAGTTAGGACTTTTTGGCTTCATTTTAAATGTAGAATCTACTGGCAAAGTTTGTAATACGAATAGCCGAACACCCTGTATTATTGGAGCTGTATTGGAAGTGGGCGAGCGAAATGTAGTGGTTATATGATGTGGATGCAGTTATGTTAACCGACCGACACAGAATTTATTTATATATATTTTTTTTTTTTTGGGGGGGGGGAGGTTGATCTATTCTATCGACATCTCTATCTAAGTAAGAACCTGTTTTTTGGGAATGGGTAGCTTAGTGAGGTTCAGTTATTTAACGATTGAAAAAAGTAGTTTAGGAATTTAGTGAGTTAGCATGTTAATTAGATTAAGTAATTGGACGATTTCCACAAGTGTGTATACTCGTGAGTGATCGAGTTAGTTGTGTAGTCGTCAACCGAATGTTTTAGTACGTTAGTGATCCAGGGATTTTTAAGTTTAATAAGTGTACGATTTTCAGACTGAGCGAGATAGTCTGTATACGAATTTGTTAGTCGGTCAGGGATAAAAAGATTTAAGAAACGAGTGCACAGGAGAGTTCTGAATCGAACAGCGAGTTGGAATGTGAATTAGTTACTTATAAGTTATGAGTTGCAAAGTAAAATATTTAGTGACTTAGTGAGCTAGATAAACACTGGCCGATAATCTGAGTGTACAAGAGAACAACGTTGTAATTAAGTTTAGGATAGGTCAAGTTAAATTAAGTAAGTGATCAGTGATTCTTAAGTTTATAATAGAAAGATTTAGTGAGTAGAAAATCATTGTACCAGTGATTGAATTTCGTAGTTGATAAGTGATCGAAAGAGTTAATGACTGTATGAGTTAGTTATTTAATAAGAAAGAAAATTATATAATGAATTCCTAAATACAACCTTTGCTCACTGAGCGAGTTAGATAATTGTGAATTTAATTTACGATTAAGTGAGTGAAAGAGTAGAGTAGTTCAGAATTGAGTTACAAATTGAAATATTTAGTTACTGAGTTGGTCGTATTATAGAAAGAGTGATCGAGTTAAAAACTGAATAATTTGAATATTAAGCGATTGAACTAGTTGGATAATTAAAATAAAGAATGTGAGTTAACGAAATCTAAACGATCAAATGAGTGAGAGCATTAGTAGGACAGCTATTCATTGATTAAAATATGCAATAAGAAATAATTAATGAGTAAGTGTTTATTTGATCATTGAGTGTTCACGCTAAGGAATGATCGAATGAACGATTATTTCAATAAAACTACAAATTTTTGGATGAGTAAGTTCGCCAGTTGGTGACAATATGTAAGTGAACATAGATGATGGCGTGATTGATTAAACTGATGTTCACGTGAGTGATGATTTAACCAATTGGTTGAATTTGTGAACTAATAGATAGTAAATTAGTATCTATACAAGGGTTCAGTTTTGTCTTGTAGACGAGTGATCATTGATATATGAATACATTTATGTGCTGAGTTAAAAATTGGGTTAAATAATGATAAAAGATTGATTGATAGGTAGAAATGAAAGGAAATTGTAAAAAAATAAGCGTGATAGAAAAATCGAAAATGAAGAGAAAACGAAAAAAGCAGAGATAGAAGGAGAAAGGATATGGAACATAAAGATATTCATGATGCTAACACATATCCACATATCATTCTATATAGCAGAAAAGGGTGGAATATTTGTAAGCATATTTTTAAGGTTCGCTCTTGTATTTTTTCCACTCGTAATAACTGCTTTATTGAATAACATATAGCTTCGATTATTTGGTCATTCTAATTTTAATTTCTTTAAAGTTTATTTGCTAAAATTTACAGAAAGCCACCAAATTGTTAAGATTCAAATATTTTTGTTTACCTCCTTTTGGTTGACTTGGAGAGCAAAATTTTATGGATATCTTCTCGGTATTGATTGAAAATCACGTCGGAGAAGAAATGGGGCGTTTGTCGGCGAGGGGGTGGGATAGGAAGACCTCAGATAAAAGGAGATTGTTACGAGCGACTGTTTCAATAAGGCCCTCACGTTTGCATGTGTCCTCTCCTCTCACTTTACGATCTGCAGAATTGGCCCGGCCCCGTCCTCGTCCTCCGCTGTTATTGCACTACACTCTCCCTTCTGACCCCGTGAGCCTAACGCATTTACATAGAACCTCGATAACACCACTCAAGGATTCTTCCCGGGACAAGCTTGTTTGTCGCCCGATGGTAAAAAGATTTCTAGAAGAAACACAACTTTGGCGCACAAAGTTGAATTCCTATGCGGGACATCGACTTCTTGAGATTTCGTCCCGGCCAGCATGACTTCAAGCTTGAAACGTTGTAAAAACAGCCTACTTGTGATTGCTTATGTTTTGCCTATAAAAAGTCTAAAGAGTAAGGAAAGATTCTTTATAAATTATTCAGAATTCGTGAGATGAAGTCTGGTGTGATGTAGCTTTCAGAAAAACATTTTCTTTATCGCGCCAACGTTTCGATCTTTAATGCAATCATCTTCAGGACTGGGGGGGGCATCATTTCAATAAAGATCGAAACGTTGGCACTATAAAGAAAATGTTTTTCTGAAACCTACATCACACCAGAGCGCATCTCACGATTTCTGAATAATTATCGATTAACTGTTACTAACCACCACACATTCTTTATAAACGTAAAAAATCTACATTTGCCGGAAAATACTGTACTTTTTGAAAGCAGTTCATAACAATCGTTTTCAGCTACAATTTAATTTCCCTTTAAAGAGGAAATGGGAAGAAGTGGAGCGTTGAAAAAGAGGGCGGTTACCAAAAAAAATGTGTCGGGCTTAGGTACAAATTACTGCAAGATCCGATAGAATTTAGGCTTAATTGTCCTTAAGGAAATTAACGTTCGAGGCTTTAACTTTTAACCGCTGCTCCGGCCCAAGACGTCTCATGATAATGAACTTGATTGCCCCGAGAAGAAAAGAGGGTGGACGTAAAAGTAAGAAGGGAGCCGAAGGTAAGCCGGTAGCATTAAAGAGCCGGGCGGCGTTGTTACTCTCCTAATTGCTCTAAGGCAAATCCTGAGCAATTAGATCAATTACAGACGTACGTTTTTTATTGCCAATTTATTTCAGGATTAGCTCAAAACGGCCGGCGGAGTCGGAAAAAGAAACGAAACTCACCATTGTCGTTGTCGCTCGTCGCTTGAGTTAGCAAAGTCATGTTCAGCTGGAGATGTTCTGCTCCTGGAGGCGGCCACGCAGCACCTACGCCGACGTCAGTCACGACCGCCTCTTCGCCTACTTCCACCTCAACTGAAACAAAAGTAACAAATAAATAAATTACAAATACGATAATACATAAACAGACAGAAATAATATTTTGTAGGAAAATAAAAAAAAACCTTGAAGGTTTTGGTTATGTCAAATTTCAGAGATACTTCATAAAATTTAAAAGTATGGATTTAGGAATCTACATAGCTTTCCATATAATCCATTAAAAATAATTTTTTAATATTAAACTGTTTATGGTTTATGCTAGGTTAAATTATTACATAATTTTTTTAAGCGATGTCCCCATCTTGGTTTTCAAAATATTAAATAAAATTGAATAATAGGATAATGTAAGTATTTTATTGTATACAATTGTTAGTTTATAGTATGTGTTAAGGTAGTATTCAGTTTTCTCCAAAGCTTTATAGCACTTTTTTCACCTAGTCTGCATTAAATATAGGAAGAATTTTACTTTAAAATATGCAATAAGCATAAAATTGTAAAGGGTAAAAATATCCGTAAAAAAACCCCAGGGATTGTACAAAATAAGAATGATATTAAACATAACACGTTGACACGGCGCTCATCATTGTAAGGTAAAGGTCCCGGGTTCGAATCCAGCGGCCCTGCATTGGCTTTTTCTCAAAAACACCGGCACCCCGAGGGTTGATATAACCTCTGCTGTTTGCAAACCCTCGTAAAAAAAATCAGATGCAGGTTTAGTTAGTTAAATAAATAAATAAGACAATAATAATATTCAAGTACATGCTAGACACATCAAATCAATTAACAGATATAAAAGACATCAATTTACATATTATTTATCATAGCAATTTGTTAAAACAGGATCATTGACAGACACACATTTCCCTTTGACACAGGTTCATTGTTTTTTCAAACAAAATGTGCTCAACTCTTTCATGCTCCTATGTACGGTAGTTCAAGATTTCCCTATTATAACTAAAAAATGGATGCTGTATACAAATGGATTATTAATGTAAGAAATATAAAAATTTCAATTGCTATATAGATGTGTGGTTTTAAGCTAGGTATGCTTCGGGTCACATGTAATATACGGAGTCCAAAATTACTCCAATTCTTAGAGGAGCATTTTGAACTACCTGGAGCTTTGCAAAACGTATTTCGATATATTACATTACATTTCATACATTCTGTAAGTTATAAAGGGATGTATGCATAGTTCATAAATACGTTTTTATTTTTACTGTCCATGAACGCTTATTGAAGACTCCTTAAGATGGTCTTGAGCATTTTTTTGAATATTGTAACTCAAAATAAGTATGGAATGCAGATACATTCCAATATATTTGACCGTTTTGATCCATGGTATTGGTAAATTACATATTAACATGATTGACAAGGCGCGGCGTCGAGTAAATTGTATCGCCTCAGACTTGCTACCGTTTGGTCTGATTCTGATTTAATTCTCCATTTGTCAGAATATTCAAAACATCTATTTATAGTTACTGATAATACTCTGCAAATAGAATCAATCCTATTTGAGGCTCTTATAAAGGTCGAATCATCAGCAAAGAGAGCCAGTTTAGCCGTGGTTTATAACTTGCACACGTCATTTATAAAGATGTTAAGGCTGGTCAAGAACTGACCCTTGGGGGCCCCAGCTGTTATACATATTAAAGGTTCCCTTCTGCCTTCAATATCTTCAAAGAATTTCAGTTACAATTGAATAATTGAAAGTGCATGGTGTGTACCAAAACAAGTGAGGTATGAAATTATCGTTACAATTTTTTTACTATAATTATTTTAATAAAAACAAGGAAGTAGCTGCTTGATGAAGGAAAAGATTGATCTCTGAACCTAATTGTGGTAAATATGTTTCCTTATAAATATATTTCTTATGAAGATTTTAATTCATTAAAAAAATTATATGATCACAATGGGAAATTGAGGGTTCTGACAAAGAGGACACATCCTTACGAAAGCCCAGGAAAGGGGAAACAAGATTGGCTAGGCTGAGGATAGGGCATTGTCGATTGACGCATGGTCACTTGATGTCCCGAGAGCCTGATCCAGTGTGTGCAGATTGCGGAGAAATAATCTCTGTTAAACATGTTTTAATAACTTGCAAAAAAATACATGACCTAAGAAATAAGTTCAAACTCGCAAATAATTTAAAAACTATACTTGGTGACAACATTAGTAACATCGAGAAACTATTTTCCTCTATGAATCCTGCCTAATAAACAGAATATAATTTTTCACATTCGAATTTTATATAGAAAACCGGAAGTTGCCAGGGAGATGGCTCCCATGATTTGCGGCTAACAACATACTTTCATGACACTTAATAGTTGTTTGCCTTTCAAAAAATAAAAAATAAAGAGATTGTCACATGTTTAAAAATTATATTATAACATTTAAGATAATATAAACAATGTTCAAAAAACACTGTAATTTAAAAACAGATTATATAAAAAAAAATCAAATCAAAGATTTTTAGGTTTAGGTCACTAAGAACTCTTTACGACCTTGTGCACAGCGATCAATATTGATCTATTGTGCAGTAAGGAGTTTTAGAATATCACATGTGTTAGAATATAAAAGCAAATATATAATTACAAATAATTCTTCAACATTATCAGCATATATTTTAAAAAATCAGCAAGGATAAAGCCAATTACATCTAAAACACCCAATTTCTCCATGACGGTTTCAAGGAATGTATCACCACATTCAAATTCACAAAATTTCATTAATTTACAATCTATGGATTCTAATAAAATGGGAGTAAAAATGTATATTATACAGCTCGATTATACGATACGATCCACAAAAATTTTATTATTAAAGTTACAATTTCCTGAAGGTGTTCCTTGAAAGCTCACTAAAAAAAGTGTTATCTTTTCTAATTGTCCTTAACTCTGCTTGTTTTATAATATATATTGAAAATCACTTAGCAGATTAAGACAATTAAACTTAATAATTTTTTAAGTATTTTTATTGATTTGTACTGATTGGAAAGGTATAAAGCAAATTCAATATCAAGAGGTTTTTGTTTTTCTTTTTGCTATATACCAGCCAACATAATTTGTATTTTGTTTGCTTTATTGTAGTAAATATATGTTTAAATTATTATAATTTACGGCCAATTCAGTTAATTTTCATTTAGCGCAAACATTAGACTATGGAAGAGGAAGGCAATTGGATTTGGGCTTTACCTTCCTTGGCAGACAGTTTCCTATAGCATGTTAGCATTAATTCGAAGCGTTATGTTTATCTTTACCTAACAATGTCCGGCTAAGCGGATTAAAGCAGACAATGCTACTTCCCCAATACCCGGAGAACATTACAACCCATTAAAGGTATGTGTACCACAGGATTAGACCAGTCCACTAAGCCTTAAATAATCATTCCAAAGCCCTCAGACCTTTCCACTTTATCCAAAACATCCCCTTCCGCTCCGACCGTTCCCGAAACTAAATCTTCTAAACACTCGAACAACTCCGAGATACGTTGCAGGATGATTTGTTAAATTTTTACAAGAAGGATATGAAAAGGGCAGTAAAAACGAGGGGCCCTCCGGTCGGCCCCGAATGTAAACCGCATCAAAACATGGCAACAGACAAAAGAAGTGTGCTGTTAAAATGATAACGGGCAACAATGGAGTCAGGGGGCAGAGGTCGGTAGATGCATATCTAAGAGGGCTGTATTATGCCCTTCGCCGGGCACCGCAATGCATACTGAATCTCACCTGTATAAATATACATGCATTCTATTGCACATTTCCCCGGCTATCTCCACCCCGCAAATCCAGAGCAGAGGGCACGTACCCGTTACGAGATTGCTAACCTTTCGGAAAAAGGGGATGAGGTCGGGGATGAAAAAATAATCGTCACTGGGTATTTTATATCATGGCATTATTAAACAGTTCTATCGTTTCGAAAAGACTATTCATGATACTTTTTGGGGGTAAAAACAGCAGAATCATCGTGAGTAAAAGATGATCGCTACCATAAAAAAATTGCATAAATCATATCAACTATTATCAAAAACCCATTATTTCCAATGTTGCGCAACGGCTCTTTTGAAATAGCACTGTTAAATGGAAGCAACTTTAGAAAATAAACAGCTAAAATTTATAAACACTTCACGAAGTTTAATATCATAATTGTATTAAACCTATTATATTTAAATATATATAATAATAGTACATACTATAGGCATATGGATGGTACTATAGGTAGTTGATTTGTTTCCTTCAACTTTTGAATCTGAAATAGATTTTTTTTTTTTTTAAGTTTTCGTTTCATGTTGTTGATAATATGTAATACAGTGTATTCTGATTGTTTTCTTTCATTTTATTATTATTATTATATTATTATTATTAATATTATTACATTCTTCCTGTGATTTTGTACGAACTAACGTTCTGTCGCTTTTGTTTTGTTTTATTTGGATCTTTTAAATTTATTTATTTATTTCTAAATATTATTTTTGGGCGACCACCGGCAGACGGTTAACCATGCCGCATCCTCAATGCTTGTATATCCTTATGTTCTTTGTTTATTCTTTTATTAATTTTAATAAAACATTATTATTATTATTATTATACCTTAATTGGTATTTTGTCTTAAACCAAATATTTTCCATTGTATAAATGATTACACAGATTTTAGACTACGTGCATACACAGTTTCATAGCATAATTTTCGTTTGTTCAAAACACACTTGTTATGTTCATCTGTAAGATCATCTTTTCTAATTTGTGACACAAAAATAACCAAATTATCACAGATTATTTACAGGTGATAGGCAGAATAAAAATGTAATCAGATTATGCTCTATTGTTATCCAAATTTCCCGTAATTTTCGTAAGTTTATTTCCTTATTTCTAAAAGAGATTGTCTGAAAATCCAATCCACAACGGACAGAGACAGAAATGGTGATATGAAATAGATAAACATCTATGTTTATTTATCCACTGACCATATTAATTATTTCAATTATTCTGCTTATCTAAGGTCTTGGTTGAGATGAAAAAGTTAATGTCACGAGCGGGA